TATCGATCTTGAAGATATTGCCCTTGTTTGATAGAGATTAAAATCAAATTTTTAGTAGAATTTGATAAAAGTTAATGAAATATATAAAATGAAAAGTTGTGGAGCCTATAAATATGTCGTTAAAATTAATTGTTGATTTTAACTTAGACTTTAATCAATTTTTTTAGCTGTACCAGACAAGGAAATTGTATCTAAATTAGATAACTACTTTTTGACAGTGGATACTACATGATTGGAGTGATGATCACTGTTTGAAATTGCTTAAGAACTGCTACAAGGCTCTACCTGAAGATGGAAAGGTAATTGTTGTTGATGCAATTCTTCCCATGAAAACCGACGCTAGTAGCTCCGTGATTAGTACGAGCCAATGTGATCTGATAATGATGACTCAAGATCCGGGAGGCAAGGAGAGATCCGAAGTTGAGTTTCTTGCCTTAGCGAAGGGAGCGGGATTTACAGGCATAAAATTGTACTGTTTTGTATGCAACTTTTGGGTCATGGAATTCCACAAGTAGATTGCTGGATTGTGGTGTATTTCTTGTTTAGGAACTTCAATTCATCTTGTTATGCTGCTTAAAAGTGCTTTCCAGTTGTGGGTTTAAATAAAATGTTTCGAGTTTGTTATAATAAAACATGAACTCTTTTTAACGGAATCTGGCTTTACTCTTCGTTTTAGACTCTGCTTATTTGTCTGAAGAGTGATCAGAACAAATATACAGCAACGCACAGAAGAAAATACGAAATAGTTTACTGTTATTTAGCTCGTTACTGTCACTTAACAGCTTCTCGCTCATAAAAATAGGTGGAACAAAAATGAGTACAGCTACAGAACTATATTTGATAATTTCCTTGTATGTGTCTAAATTTTTCTTTATCAAGACTTCCCTGAAATCCATAAGAGCAAGTTCTACATTTTAGCCTCGATTTAGAACTATATTGAATTACATTGGTTTTGGAAACCAGGTTCTTGTATGTAAACCACTGTTAAAAAGTACAAAGAATACAAAAGATCCGTAAGTTGAACTCTTCAGTTCTGCTGAAAAAGTCTAAGGAACCCTTAAATTATATATATATATATATATATGGGTTTCCTTCCATCCATCCCGATGAGGACACTTATTGAAAATTCCAAAAAGAAAAATCAAAAAATGAATCAAGCTAGTGTATAAAACAAAATACACACAGAAAACTTGAAAAGTAAGTTATAAAATAGAAGACGTATTATTTGCATTGGTTAAGTCTTAAACACTCATTTGAAAGAATTGGACATTCGACATGGTAATATTAGTTTAGTTGATTCTTGGAGGATGAAGTCGTAAAAAATAAGGAGAATCCTAATTTGTTTATGTGTTGAGCTGCAATTATTAAAATCTAACCAAACTAGAAGTGTTTAATAAGGAGAATCCTCTTTTGATTATCTTATCATGTTCGTTTAAATTTTTTTTTTTAAATTAGGTTATAATTTTGTTTGAGGATAACAAATATTCATGTTTAGGAGTGTTTAATAAGTGTATTTTTTATACACTAACCTAGGCTATTAAATTAGGATATTTATTATTAATTTTGATGAATTAAAGCTTAATTATGTGTAATTGTATTTGTTAGGTAAATCTCAAGACAAATTGACGGAATTAAACAAAATGAGCGCAAAACCGAATGAAAAATGAAGAAATTCAAAGTTTGGGACTAAATTGTGCACTTTCAATAGCTGATCTGGACTTAATATCAATGATGGGAGAATGATTGCACTCAATTGGATGTATATGAAAGCTAAATGGTTAAAATTTGGGAATTGAAATGAAAAGGCCTGAACCGCGGGCGCAATATAAGAAAAGTTGGTGCACCCGCATTGCTTGTCAAAAAACCACATGAGAGCCACACGTGCCTTGAGCAGCGCGTGCACAAGGAAAATACAAGGACTAGCTGTGCAATTGTTGTTTGAGGCAAAATTTCCATTGAATTAAAATTCTGATGCGAGTTCTAAATACCAAACTTGGGCAAAACGGTACACTCTCTAGCGTCTTAATATCATATCAAATAATCAAATTTATCAAGAAGAAGATGCCAATTGTTATATTTTGAGAGAAAAGATCAAACACAAACATGAATTGAAGGTCAATTGCATCAAAAAATTGAAGAATTCAACATTGAAATTGAAAATTAAGATTTTTTTTACATTCATTCATGATCCGGGCAATATTTATTAATAATTCTTCTTGTATTTACGAAATCATGCTGGCTAGATCCGTAATAGTATTGGATGAAGATGAACATTGTTTTTTATTTATTTTAATTTAAGACTAGTAGTTTAGTGTTTCTTGATTAATTTTGCATTTTCGTTACATTGTTTAATTGTTTGGTCATCAATTAGATAATAAGTTCCTTCTTATAGCGTTGGAAGATTCACAATAATTTTAGAATGCGGTAATGTTAATACACATGCAATAAATGTTCGAAATAACAATATCGCTTGTACAATCATATAGATAATCTGAAATTTAATGCATTTTAGTCATTCGAATTTGGATTAGAAAAAGAATCATGTCATGATTAGAATGAAATTAATTTATTTTTAAAAAAGAAAGTCAAATATCTTAGCTTTATCGATTGTCGAAAATGAATGTATGGAACTAAATTACATAATTGTGAATTGAAATGAATAGTAATAGACGAATTCTAAATTCAATACAATTATCATAATTTGATACAAACAACGCTTTATCATATTTCTTAAATTATTTTAGAATAATTACAAAAATCAAAACTCATTTGTGTTACATATTTCGAATTCAATACATGACTAGTACATCTGAATTGAGATTTATTTCCCGTGGGATGATAATATTAATGCTTCAAATCTACTTATCAACAACTCACAAGTTTGCGGAAATTGTCTGAACAACCACCAAACTATTACTCAATCATTGATCTCCCATCCGATTTTGCAATTTATTCTCAATAATTTTCATTGTGGAAAATACTCTCAACCATAGAAGTAGCAACCGGAAGAAATTAACTCCGGTATTACAAGCCTATAAACTAATGGATACACCTAATTTTTATCATCACAGTCAACTTTTCTATGAGGTCACTAAGACCTTTAAGCCTTCAAAATATTTGTCAGTACGTATATCAATAATATAGGCTACAATTGTAACAATGCCTTAACTTATTTTCATTAACGTTATATTGTTTTAAAGAAAATTATATCTTGATTTTTGATCACACAATAGAAAATGTCCGGTCCTCACTTTGTAACTAATACTATTTCTCTGGCAAATGCAATTTCATGAAATTATACGTTCATTGTTCACAATGTGAATTTCATGTTATGGATGGGTTGATCAAAATAATTCCACAAAAGCACAGGAAACAAGCATAATCAACTCATTTACATTTCTTTTGCTTACCAACGCCGACGCAAATGTTCTACTAATAATAAATATGCTTCTCAGATTATTAAATAATTAACAATACCTATGCAATAAGCCATAGAGTTATGCCACTTCCAAGGACATTATAGTCATAAGTAGG